CACACACACACACACACACACACACACACACACACACACACACAGTGAGACTGCAGACACATTTCATGTGTCTTGTGTTGATGGAGATAAACAGCAGGTGGAGCTGAGTCTCCAGTCGCTGCCATTAAACCACTGAAGAAGAGGAGGTCATTAAAGAGCCAGTCAAAGGTCAAACGATGATGGATAATGTGATGGAGAACGTGATGGAGAACATGATGGAGAACGTGATGGAGAACATGATGGAGAACATGTGGGGAACATGATGGAGAACATGATGGAGAACATGATGGAGAACATGTGGAGAACATGATGGAGAACATGATGGAGAACATGTGGGGAACATGTGGAGAACATGATGGAGAACATGTGGGGAACATGTGGAGAACATGATGGAGAACATGTGGGGAACATGATGGAGAACATGATGGAGAACATGATGGAGAACATGTGGGGAACATGTGGAGAACATGATGGAGAACATGATGGAGAACATGATGGAGAACATGTGGGGAACATGTGGGGAACATGTGGAGAACATGATGGAGAACATGTGGAGAACATGATGGAGAACATGATGGAGAACATGATGTCATTCAATGAGTCAGTTCCAGCTGCTTTTTCTTAATGAGCAGATTCAAACACATAAAACAGGTGGACAGTCACTCTAACAGAAAAGCGAGGACAGGTACCGATCTTTTGATTGACAGCTGTCAGCTGGTTGAACCAATCCCAGACCAGAGCAGTGGAGCAGGTGGGCGGGACCAGGGAGCTGAAACACAGAAACAGGATGTGATTGGATGAGCAGCACTCGATGGCAGATAATGGACACTATTTAAAAAGTGGTATCCTCAGGGGACTCATTGGATCCTGATCAATCACAGAGGTCAATCAGACGACAGAGTCTCTTACCAGATCCTGTAGATGAGGGCACGACGCTGTTCTGTCAGATCTTGCTGAGTTTGTTTCATCTGCTGAACTGAGGTCAGCTGCTGATCTTTACCACTGCTGCAGAGACTCCTGCAACATAGACACAGCTGATCCTGATCCAGTTTATACAGATACAGCTGATCCTGATCTGACCTGGTTCTCTACTCACGTGAAGCGGTCTATGACCTCGGTGACTCTGCTCCTCCTCCAGCGGCTTAGACAGTCCTCCCAGCGCAGACGGAGAAGTGACTCCTGCTGCAGGTTGTCCTCCTTGAGGAGCAGCAGCAGACGGGCGGCGCTGCGACGATTCACCAGCAGAGACTGATTCAACACCTGACGCACAGACAAAGGAGAATGTAACTCTGTGTGTGAGAGGTCAGAGGTCAGAGGTCAAAGGTCAAAGCGTTACCGTGGCCTCAGTGTGGATCAATGTGTAGACGTCAGGTGGAAGCAGCAGGTGGCAGTACTTCCTGAGCACAGCTCTGATCTACACACACACAGAAGAGGTTCAGTCAGGCTTTATACCTGATCCTGGTTCAGTTTCCATTCACACCACACTCAGACAGGTGTGTCCAGAGAGACACGCCCACCACGCACCTCTGGGTCTGTTTTTTTCACCTTCAAAAAAGGATCTCTGGATGTTTTAACTCAGACTGATGAAGTTTCACACTGACTTCTGATAAACTCTGGAAGATTTCACACAGAGAGAGGACTGTGGACCATAATTACAAGAAGAACCTGTTCACATGTTCATATGAGGACCTGAAAGCTGTTTGAAGACTGCCTTAACCCCTTCATACCGGATGCTGCGCAGCGCAACATTGCCCCTCCCGCCGGTTGCTGCATAGCGCAGCATTGTTGATTCCTCGTCATTTTCATGACGCATGCAGCATATAAATATGTAAAATATGTATAAATATATCATGAAAATGACGAGGAATCAACAATGTTGCGCTGCGCAGCATCCGGTATGAAGGGGTTAAAAAACTGTGAACCTTAAACAATGTTCCTCTGTCAAACTTCAGCAGCTTCACTGTCACAGCAGCAGCTAACGTCTGCTCTTCACTGACACCAGAAGGAGACTCAGACAGGTGTTAAGTACAGGACTAAACTCAGTCTGACCTCATTTGTTCGTTGAGTCTCAGATTCAGTCAGTTTGTGGTCCAGCTCCATGATTCTCTTCTTCTTCAGCTTCACCTCCTCCTCCACCTGCTCCCAGAGACCACACACCTCCTACACACACACACACAAATCATAAAATTATGTGAGTGTGTGAGTGTGTGTGTGTGTGACTGTAAAATGTACAGGACATGACCTGGGCTTCCTGACTCCATTACCAGATCAGCTCAAGTGGTTCAGGTCTATCAGGTGCTTTAAAGTATTTGCAGGGTTTTTCCTGCAGAGAGAACTGGGAGGCGGCCGCCTCCGTCAAAGCTCATACCGCCTCCGCCTCCTGACAAAATTCTAGTACTTGTTTTCTTGGTACTCGGTGGATTTGACGTTTGTAACTGCAATTGCGGCTGTATGCCGCTACGGCAATGTAGTGGCGCTGAACAGGGTTGCCACCCGTCCCGTATAATACAGGATCGTCCCGTATTTGAAAATAAAATTATTCTAGTACTTGTTTTCTCTGTACTCTGAGGACATAACATGAACGAAAATACGGGACAAATTGCTTCCAGTATTGATTCAAATCCACAAAGTGCTGTGAATAATGTAATGTCAAGTAAAACCAAACCAGTTGCCACCTTTTTTCACATGAAAGGTGGCAACACTACAGATGAATATTATCTCTACATTCAAGCACACCCAGCTTCTTGAAAAGTTTCCCTAAATTAACGGTACATCCCATCGTGTATGTCAAGGCGAAAGCACCAAGTCTTTAGGAGTGTATTAACTAGTGTATTACAGCCGAGGTTTATTTATTTATTTTATTGTCCCCAGCCCCAGTTGTGGCTTAGTACCACCACCGCATGATTTTCAGCCAGGAAAAACCCTGGTTTTAATGAAGGTAATCACCGCCATGAGCTGTGTGTGACAGACGGACACGATCCAGGTGTTCATGTGTACCTGCAGACTGACATGATCCAGGTGTTCCAGCTGCTCCATTCTGTCCTTCAGTGAGTCCAGTCTGAGGTCCACCTCCTGCAGAGAGGACAGCAACTCCTGACTGACGGTCCTCACCTGAGTCTCACACACCTGACAGAACATGTCAATGAGATCAAGTCAGAAGGTGCTATGCCGACATGTATACTACCTCAGGTGTATTATATCAGTGCATATGTGTATTCTACCTGAGTGAGTTCTGTTAGTTCAGTATCCAGCTGTTTCAGAGCCTCTGTATGTTTTTTAAGGTTTTTCTCCGTTAGACGTTCGATGATGTCAGAGCTCGGATGATCGACCACTGAAAGAGAGAGAGAGAGAACGACAGCTGGAGGTGCAGCTGTGATTGGTTGTGAAGGTGGAACATTAAACATAATCAGACTTCCTTTCCTCGGTTTTGAGTTCCCTTAAACCTTTCTCATTTCAAAGGAGTCCATTTTTTCTGCTCAGCTCTCAGTAAAAGCACCAGGAGATTGATACGAACCCACAGTATCAGGAAGTCTGCTGACATCATGAAAGTCATCATCATCCACCCGCTGCCCCCTGCTGGACGACAAACACAACAACCAGAGAGAGACACAGTTAGAGACAGTTAGAGACTGTATCTATATATATATACATATATATAGTCTCTAACTGAACTGTGTCTCTCTGTCTCTAACTGTCTGCCTGTCTCTCTCTCTCTGCCTGTCTACCTGCTGGTGGTGCTGCAGTGTGTGTTGCTGTCCTCCGCAGACAAACAGTCTGTCCTCATGTCTTTGCGTCCAGCCAGCAGAGACCTGGACAGCTGAACCTACAAACACACAGGAACAAGTTAAAACCAGTTCAATACAAGAACCACAGCAGGAGACTCAGTGTCAGGACACACAGATAAAACTTCAGTCTGTCCACACATCACTCTCTGCCTGCTGTGTTTTAATGTCTTTCCCTGGTCTCCAGTCAGTTGGACGACTGTGAGACTGTAAACCTGTCATCAGCTCCGTCTCCTCCTCTGTGTTAACTTCATTTAGACGGTCTGATCTGAGCTGCACTCTGACTGTCTTCAGGTCTCCACATGAAACCACCTGAACCTCAGCTGAGCAGGACCAGGACCAGTTAACTGAACTTACTACTTTACTAAACCTGGTTTTTACTGATGTTAACCTGGTGTAACTGGTAAAAACAGCCGTCAAGTCTCTGTTGAGGTTACTGACCAAGGTAGAGCTTGCCTGACGGTAAACAGCAGCTCCAGTAGTACAGAATCAGTCATTAATTCTCTCAGTCATGTAACTGACCATTAACAGGGAAGTGTTAACCAGTTTACTGACAGTTACCAGTTAAGTGAGTGTTGTTGTTACTAGCTAGTGGCAGTGTGCCAGACTCTGCTGGTGTGAAGGAGTTAAACTGTGACTGTTTGACATCGGTGTTCAGTTCTAGTTTCACTCGTCATGACGCTGAGATCATCTGGTGATCCAGCAGGAAGAAAGTTAAAGACCCAGTCTGTCCAGTTCTGATCCAGTTGTGGACGTGAAGGTATGTTAGACTTAAAAAGATCTGACAGAGCTGTGAAACCTTAATCTGCGAAAACAGAAGCCGCACCTACACCTGTCAGACACACTCCTGTTTAAAACAAAGAGTTACTGTTATTTACACCCAGCCCACATCAGAGCAGGAGGAACCACGAGATCTAGACCAGTTCAATCTTGACTAGATTAGTACATTTCCAGTATAATAGGACAGTCATGTGTCTATAAATTCACTGCAGAACTCAACACTTCCCCTTCCTCACTCCAAAACTAAAACAGATAAGTTTCCAATCAGACAAAAGATTAACTGACCCAGAAACCAGCTGGTTTCTAATCAGCACGCATTGTTTTTATAGTGTGTTCCCTTTGTTTGTTTGTTTTTATATAAAGTCTCTGGTTTCAGTTGGAACGATTCTTAGTGTCAGATTCTGACTCAGAAAGTCGAAGAACTTTGATCTCAGGATCCAAAATGGCCGCTCTGCCGCCAACTATACTACGTATTTTTTCCTGGTCCTGGTCTTTAACGGACTTGTCACCGGACGCTTCATGTTACCGTCACACCGTGAACTTTGACCCACCTGAGCGTCAAACAGCTGCCGGTACACTTTCCCGCTCGGTACCGCTCTGCTCTCACACATGATAACGGTAATTAGCCGGATGCTAGCGAGTCGGATTGTCGAGTCCCCGGTCTGGATCAGAGCTCAGGGTGAGGGGGGGGTGTCTGCTGAGCGGCCTCGGGTCTCTGTGTCTGTCGATATAAAACCTGCTAAACTCTCCGTTAAACTGTTGGTACCTGCTTCGTCCCGCAGCCGGACTTAACGTTTGTCCGTCACCATGACAACGAAGACTATGAGACGTTCAGGGTCCGCGGAGAAAATCTTTCTTTAAGCCGTCACGATGTCTTGAGATAAATGTGAGGTTTATTAAATCTCAGTTTATTAAAGGAAGAGAAAACAAATCAAACTTACGTCTGTTTGAGATTCTTTCTTCTTCACATCAGTAACTAAGTACATTTACTTTGAAGTGCTTTTACTTTACTTCAGTATTTCCGTTAAACTTGTCCTGCGCTACACTTATCTGACAGACACAAAACACGAAGAGTTAATGAGATGTGATGTTTTATTTTAGATTAAACTGCTCAGCAGTTAATACAAGTGCAGTTCAGTTGATCGACAGAAAATTTTAATTTAAACTATCCTGATAAAAATTAAAATCATTTTCATGTAAAATACCAAATATTTCCTGGTTTCTTCAAATATGAAAATGTGCTTCTTGTCTTTTTAATTATACAGATTTATGGTTCATTCAGTTATATCCTGTATAAAATGATTAAAATGATGCCGTTCCATCAACAGTGCTGCTCTTATATTAATAATATAATAATAATATTTCACTTTTACTTTTAATACTTTTATGTTTTCCTGCTCACACACGTTTAAATAAGAGTATTTTTACTCTTTTCCTGCAGAACGTTTCACAAACACTGATGAACTCATCAGGTAATCAATAAAACCTTGAGACAACAGGTAGGCTACAGAACCAATAAAAGATCAAATTGTTTATAACCAGTAACTGTGTCTGAGTGAAGGTGACGTCTTGTCATGTGATCTCAGATGTGTTCAGTCGGAAGGGGTGATGTCACTGCCACTGCTGTCGTCAAGGTTACTGGCTGCGTACTCCTTACCGATGAACTTTGATCTGAGGGCTCGCTTCCTGTCGTCATGGAAACAGACACACGCTTACACCTGCTGTCACAGTTTCTATGTAGTTCAAATGAATCTCTACTCACCTGCGGTAAAAGAAGTTAGGACGAGTCCTAGAGGTGAGACAGTCCTCTGTCTGCTTCTCCTGCAGAGAGACAGACAGATGGAGAGAGAGAGACAGGTGGAGTGGAAGAGAGAGGTGGAGAGAGAAACAATTATCATTTTGAGGCTTTGGCAACATGTTTTTCTAAAACCTTCCTGACAAAAAAAAACAAACTTTGAACTGAGACCTCAGGTTTATTACCCATGATGCACTTGTGCTGGGTTTCATTTCAGACAGTCCGGCGCCTCCCAGAGGAGAGGGGAACTGCTGCAGCGCAGCCGCCTCCTCGTTCTCCCCCGACGTCCCATTACGCACCTCATCACTGCTTCCTGTCACATGACACGTTCAACACGACAGCAGGTCACATGAAACATTTGACACGACAGCAGGTCACATGACACATTCGACACGACATCAGGTCACATGATACGTCTCTGACCTTTCACAGTGTTGTGTCCTGGCTCCTCCTCCTCACTGCTCACACTCCTCTCCCCCTGGGCAAACAGCTTTCATCATTACATCATCATTACATCATTATCTACACAGGAAGCTGATTCAAAAGTGACCCTGGTCCCTACACCTACATCACCTCCATTGTTCTCCTCCTCACCTGGTGGGAGATGCAGGTGAGTCTGCGGAGACGTGTCCTTAGCTGTAGCTCGTCCCCCTGTGACCTCAACAGGAGGAGCTCCAGCCTATCAGATTGCTCAGTGAGTTGTCTGACCTGCTCCCTGTACTGATCCTTCTCCTGCAGGAGCAGCCGCGCCTCCTCCTGCTGCTCCGCCCGTGAAGACAAAGCCTGAAACAACCAGGGGGCAGGGTTTAAAGGCACTGACCAGAATGCACCTGGAAGACTTCACAGGTGTGTTGTGGTCAAAAGCAGGAGGAGACAGGGAGTTACCTGTAGTGACCAGTCTTTAAGTAAACCATGTGACAGGAACAGGAAGTGAATTTTGTTCCGACCTTGTCTCTCTCTCTTCCTCACTCCTCCACCTCCTCCTCTCTCTCTCCTCTATCCTCCTCCTCCTCCTCCTCACCTTGTCTCTCTCTCTGATCACCTCCTCCAGCTGTCGGAGGGTTTGTTTATTTCGTTGACGGTACATCCTGGCATCTCCCTTCAGCTGAGTGCAACGCAGCTCCAGCTCCTCCTTGTTGTCCAGACTCTGAAAAGAAACACACCTGGCGTCACACCTGGTCTGAACTGATCTGGTCAGCTGATCACAGGTCACATGAGGACCTATGACGGAAAGAGACAGACGTGAGACATCTGGATATTATGTCAAAGACGGAGCTGAGTCGTTGGCACAGAGGAGGACCAACAACACAACCTGACCTGAGGTCAAGCACACAGCTTCCTGTTTCCTGTGAGATCTAATTCAACACTTCCTCTACCTTTTTCACAATAAAAGCCTCCAGCTGTTTGGGGAATCCAAATCCCCTCACTTCTCACAGGGGCTTTAATTGTGAAAGTCTTACATTTTATTAAGAAGTGAATATATTTTTCCATTCATCTCTCAGTGAAGAGATGAACTGGTAAAAGCTGACTGTTGTCTCATTAATAACCCAGATCTAATAAATCTAATAATAAATCTAATACTTTTAATAATAAATCTAATAATAAATATTATAAATTTAATAATTAATCTAATAAATTTAATTATACATTTTATAATAAATTTAATAATAAATCTAATGATAAATCTAATAATAAATTAAATAATATATCTACTACATCTAATAATCAAGCTAATTATAAATAAAGTCACAGTGTGTTTAAACATCCTGAACTTTATCCAGGAATCTTATTGTGAAATCTGAGTCCTGTTGAATCACTACTGTTTGATTCTGTCAGTTAGTATCACTCCTGGTTTCATGTAACTTCTACTATCTTTTGTTTACCCCCCCCCCCCCCCTCACCCTGGCTCTCTGCTCCTCTGCTCTGTGCAGTTCTCTCCTCAGTCTGAACACTGTAGCGAGGAGGTTCATCTGAGTAGGAGCTGGACTCTCATCCTTCTTGTCCTCCTTCTTGTCCTCCTTCTTCTCCTCTTTCTTCTCCTCTTTCTTCTCCTCTTTCTTCTCCTCTTTCTTCTCCTCCCCTTTCTCCTCTTTCACCTCCTCCAGTCTGTTGGGGTGGAAGAAGGGGTCTGTGGGCAGAGCCAGACTCCTGCTCTGAAAACACATGTATCGTGTTGGACCATCAGGTCTCTGTCTGTGATGCTGAAGTCACGTGTTACAATGTTTACAGGTGTCCATATACTTTTGGCCATGTACAGTATACAGGACAGGACAGTATAAAGTTCATTCAGTTGTAGCAGTTAAACTGTTCAGTAAAAGTCGTCAGTTTAATCATGAAGGTAGTTGAAGTGTCAGTTTGTATTAGAGCAGCTGAAGTGTCAGTTTGTGTGAAAACAGTTGAAGTGTCGGTTTGTATGAAGCAGTTAATGTGTCAGTTTGTGTTAGAGCAGCTGAACTGTCAGTTTGTATGAAAGCAGTTGAAGGGACAGTTTGTATGAAAGCAGTTGAAGGGACAGTTTGTATGAAAGCAGTTGAAGGGACAGTTTGTATGAAAGCAGTTGAAGGGACAGTTTGTATGAAAGCAGTTGAAGGGACAGTTTGTATGAAAGAAGTTGAAATGTCGGTTTGTATGAAGCAGTTAATGTGTCAGTTTGTATGAAAACAGTTGAAGTGTCAGTTTGTGTGAAAACAGTTGAAGTGTTGGTTTGTATGAAGCAGTTAATGTGTCAGTTTGTATGAAAACAGTTGAAGTGTCAGTTTGTATGAAGCAGTTAATGTGTCAGTTTGTATGAAAGCAGTTGAAGTGACAGTTTGTCTGAAAGAAGTTGAAGTGTCGGTTTGTATGAAGCAGTTAATGTGTCAGTTTGTATTAGAGCAGCTGAAGTGTCAGCTTGTGTGAAAACAGTTGAAGTGTCGGTTTGTATGAAAGAAGTTGAAGTATAAGTTTGTATGAAAGCAGTTGAAGTGTCTCTACCTCCTGCAGTGGTCTGAGTGTCCGTCGTCTCAGCAGTCGTGTCTGACCTTCAGCTCGCAGCACTGTGTTTTTTAGACGTTCCACCTGCACACACACACAGAGGTCAGAGGTCAGAGGTCACATCAGCTCTCTGTAGGGGTCATCAGGGGTCAGAGGTCAGCTGACCTCTATCTGCAGGTCTCTGTTGGCCAGCAGAGCATTGCTCTTATCCTGGTTCAGGGTGTTGATGTCGGCCATCAGATTGTAGTTGTGATCTCGGAGCTGCTTCACCTCCTCGCTCAGCCGCTCCCGTTCCTCCCGAACCTTCTGTACGCGCTCAGTCATCTTCCTCAGCTCGTGGTCCCTCAGCTGCTGCTGCTGAGACCACGCCTCCTGGAGACCAGGACAAACACACAAACACACAACACACCAAAACATGATTTAACTGTGTGAGCTCCATTTCTAACTTTTCCTTTAGTAACCTGGTTGCTATGCCAACCTGTTCCTTGGCGACAGAGCAGGCTTGTTGGCGGCGTCTCCTCTCGTCCTGCAATGCCCTCTGCAAGCGACTGAGCTCCGACATCAGGAACTGAGTCAGACCAGATTCTCCTGCTGTGTCTGAACAGAGAGACAGTCAATCAGACAGACAGGCAGACAGACAGACGGATAGACATGCAGACAGACAGACGGACAGACAGGTAGACAAGCAGACAGACAGACAGACAGACAGACAGACAGACAGACAGACGGACAGGCAGACAGGAACAGACCGATGAGGATGCTAAAGGTCTTGTTGGGCTCTTTCCCAGTGATGCGGCTGTACAGTTGAGGATAGTCCAGCTCCAGACTCTCCAGGAAGGCTGTGTAACCTTTGGTCCCTGTCCTCTGCAGGATGTCCAGCAGGGCTCCTTTAAAGGTCAAAGGTCACAGCAAAGGTCAGGGGTCAGACAGTTACAAGATTCAACCTCAAAGACTTGGACATGACGTCACTGAAACACTTGGGACACTTGTGACTCAGTGACATATATAATATATGGGTAACTGATAACATCCTCAGAGACCTCGATGTGGTCTCATGACTAAACTGGACGACCAAAGTTAACTTGTGGAAGAGGACACTGAGGAAAAGACGAGGAGACCTTCATTACATCCAATCTCTGAATCCTGGTTCCAGTACTGTCACTCCCTGGATCATGATTCTGGTTTTAGATTCTGGTTCAGATACTGGTTTAAGATTCTGGTTAAAATTCTGGTTTAGATTCTGGTTTTAGATTCTGATTTAAGATTCTGGGTCAGATTCTGGTTTAGATTCTGGTTTTAGATTCTTGTTTAGATTCCTGTTTAGACTCTACTTTTAGATTTTAGTTAAGGTACTTGTTTAGATTCTGGTTTAGATTCCTGTTTAGACTCTGCTTTTAGATTTTGGTTAAGGTACTTGTTTAGGTTCTGGTTTAGATTCTGGTTTAAGAGTCTTGTTTAGATTCCTGTTTATCCTCTGGTTTTAGATTCTAGTTTAGATTCTGATTTAGATTCTGGTTTTAGATTGTGATTTAAGATTCCGGTTTAGATCCTGATTTAGATTCTGGTTTGAGATTCTGATTTAGATTCTGGTTTTAGATTGTGATTTTAGATTCTAGTTTAGATTCTGGTTAAGATTTTGGTTTTAGATTCTTGTTTAGATTCCTATTTAGACTCTGGTTTTAGATTCTGGTTAAGGTACTTTTATAGATTCTGGTTTTAGATTCTGATTCAAGATTCTGGTTCAGATTCTGGTTTTAGATTCTGGTTTAGATGCTGGTTTTAGATTCTTGTTTAGATTCTGGTTTACGATTCTGGTTTAGATTCTGGTTTTGGATTCTGGTTTTGGATTCTGGTTTAAGATTCTGGTTTAGGTACTGGTTTGGATTCTGATTTCAGATTCTTGTTTTGGATTCTGATTTAGATTCTGGTTTAGGTACTGGTTAAGATACTGGTTTAGATTCTTGTTTAGATTCTGGTTTAGATGCTGGTTTTAGATTCTTGTTTAGATTCTGGTTTAGATTCTGGTTTTGGATTCTGGTTTAAGATTCTGGTTTAGGTACTGGTTTAGATTCTGTTTAAGATACTGGTTTAGCTTCTTGTTTAGATTCTGGTTTAGATGCTGGTTTTAGATTCTAGTTTAGATTCTGTTTTAGATTCTTGTTTAGATTCTGGTTTTAGATTCTGGTTTAGATTCTGGTTTTGGATTCTGGTTTTAGATTCTAGTTTAGGTACTGGTTTAGATTCTGGTTTAAGATACTGGTTTAGCTTCTTGTTTAGATTCTGGTTTAGATGCTGGTTTTAGATTCTGGTTCTAGTTTTAGATTCTTTTTTAGGTACTGGTTTAGATTCTGGTTGAGACACTGGTTTTAGATTCTGGTTTAGATTCTGGTTTTAGATTCTGATTTAAGATTCTGGTTTTAGATTCTGGTTTAGATTTTTGTTTTAGATTCTTGTTTAGATTCTGGTTTAGATTCTGGTTTTAGATTCTGGTTTAGATTCTAGTTAAGATTCTGGTTTAGATTCTGGTTAAGACACTGGTTTTAGATTCTGGTTTAGATTCCTGTTTAGACTCTGCTTTTAGATTTTGGTTAAGGTACTTGTTTAGATTCTGGTTTAGATTCTGGTTTAAGAGTGTTGTTTAGATTCCTGTTTATCCTCTGGTTTTAGATTCTAGTTTAGATTCTGATTTAGATTCTGGTTTTAGATTCTGATTTAAGATTCCGGTTTAGATTCTGATTTAGATTCTGGTTTGAGATTCTGATTTAGATTCTGGTTTTAGATTCTGATTTAAGATTCCTGTTTAGATTCTTGCTTAGACTCTGGTTTTAGATTCTAGATTAGATTCTGGTTAAGATTTTGGTTTTAGATTCTTATTTAGATTCCTGTTTAGACTCTGGTTTTAGATTCTGGTTAAGGTACTTTTATAGATTCTGGTTTAGATTCTGGTTTTAGATTCTGATTCAAGATTCTGGTTCAGATTCTGGTTTTAGATTCTGGTTTAGATTCTGGTTTAGATGCTGGTTTTAGATTCTTGTTTAGATTCTGGTTTAGATTCTGGTTTTGGATTCTGGTTTAAGATTCTGGGTTAGGTACTGGTTTAGATTCTGGTTTTGGACTCTAGTGTTAGATTCTCTTTTAGGCACTGGTTTAGATTCTGGTTTAGATGCTGATTTAGATTCTGGTTTAAGATTCTGGTTTAGATACTGGTTTAGATTATGATTTCAGATTTTCTTGTTTAGATTTTGGTTTAGATGCTGGTTTAGATTCTGGTTTTGGACTCTAGTGTTAGATTCTCTTTTAGGCACTGGTTTAGATTCTGGTTTAGATGCTGATTTAGATTCTGGTTTAAGATTCTGGTTTAGATACTGGTTTAGATTATGATTTCAGATTCTTGTTTTGGATTCTGATTTAGATTCTTGTTTAGGTACTGGTTAAGATACTGGTTTAGATTCTTGTTTAGATTCTGGTTTAGATGCTGGTTTTAAATTCTTGTTTAGATTGTGGTTTAAGATTCTGGTTTAGATTCTGGTTTTGGATTCTGGTTTAAGATTCTGGTTTAGATTCTGGTTTTGGATTCTGGTTTAAGATTCTAGTTTAGGTACTGGTTTAGATTCTGGTTTAAGATACTGGTTTAGCTTCTTGTTTAGATTCTGGTTTAGATGCTGGTTTTAGATTCTGGTTCTAGTTTTAGATTCTTTTTTAGGTACTGGTTTAGATTCTGGTTGAGACACTGGTTTTAGATTCTGGTTTAGATTCTGGTTTTAGATTCTGATTTAAGATTCTGGTTTTAGATTCTGGTTTTAGATTTTTGTTTTAGATTCTTGTTTAGATTCTGGTTTAGATTCTGGTTTTAGATTCTGGTTTAGATTCTAGTTAAGATTCTGGTTTAGATTCTGGTTAAGACACTGGTTTTAGATTCTGGTTTAGATTCTTGTTTAGACTCTGCTTTTAGATTTTGGTTAAGGTACTTGTTTAGATTCTGGTTTAGATTCTGGTTTAAGAGTGTTGTTTAGATTCCTGTTTATCCTCTGGTTTTAGATTCTAGTTTAGATTCTGATTTAGATTCTGGTTTTAGATTCTGATTTAAGATTCTGGTTTTAGATTCTGATTTAGATTATGGTTTGAGATTCTGATTTAGATTCTGGTTTTAGATTCTGATTTAAGATTCCTGTTTAGATTCCTGTTTAGACTCTGGTTTTAGATTCTAGTTCGGATTCTGGTTAAGATTTTGGTTTTAGATTCTTGTTTAGATTCTGATTTAAGATTCCTGTTTAGATTCCTGTTTAGATTCCTGTTTAGATTCCTGTTTAGATTCCTGTTTAGATTCCTGTTTAGATTCCTGTTTAGATTCCTGTTTAGATTCCTGTTTAGATTCCTGTTTAGATTCCTGTTTAGATTCCTGTTTAGATTCCTGTTTAGATTCCTGTTTAGATTCCTGTTTAGATTCCTGTTTAGATTCCTGTTTAGATTCCTGTTTAGATTCCTGTTTAGATTCCTGTTTAGATTCCTGTTTAGATTCCTGTTTAGATTCCTGTTTAGATTCCTGTTTAGATTCCTGTTTAGATTCCTGTTTAGATTCCTGTTTAGATTCCTGTTTAGATTCCTGTTTAGATTCCTGTTTAGATTCCTGTTTAGATTCCTGTTTAGATTCCTGTTTAGATTCCTGTTTAGATTCCTGTTTAGATTCCTGTTTAGATTCCTGTTTAGATTCCTGTTTAGACTCTGGTTTTAGATTCTGGTTTAAGATACTGGTTTAGCTTCTTGTTTAGATTTTGGTTTAGATGCTGGTTTTAGATTCTGGTTTGGATTCTGGTTTAGATTCTGGTTTAGGTACTGGTTTAGATTCTGTTTAAGATACTGGTTTAGCTTCTTGTTTAGATTCTGGTTTAGATGCTGGTTTTAGATTCTAGTTTAGATTCTGGTTTAGATTCTGGTTTAGATGCTGGTTTTAGATTCTTGTTTAGATTCTGGTTTAGGTTTCTGGTTTAGATTCTGGTTTAGATTCTGGTTTAAGATTCTGGTTTAGATTCTGGTTTTGGACTCTAGTTTTAGATTCTTTTTTAGGTACTGGTTTAGATTCTGGTTGAGACACTGGTTTTAGATTCTGGTTTAGATTCTGGTTTTAGATTCTGATTTAAGATTCTGGTTTTAGATTCTGGTTTAGATTTTTGTTTTAGATTCTTGTTTAGATTCTGGTTTAGATTCTAGTTAAGATTCTGGTTTAGATTCTGGTAAAGACACTGGTTTTAGATTCTGGTTTAGATTCTGGTTTTAGATTCTGATTTAGATTCTTGTTTAGATTCTAGTTTTAGATTCTGGTTTAGATTCTGATTTCAGATTCTTGTTTTGGATTCTGATTTAGATTCTGGTTTAGATTCTGGTTTAGGTAGTGGTTTAGATTCTGGTTTAGATTCTTGTTTAGATTCTGGTTTTAGATTTTTGTTTAGATTCTGGTTTAAGATTCAGGTTTAGATTTTGGTTTAGGTACTGGTTTAGATTCTAGTTAAGATTGTGGTTTTAGATTCGGGTAAAAATTCTGGTTAAGATTCTGATTCAAGATTCTGGTTTTAGATTCTGGTTTAGAGTCTGGTTTTAGATTCTGATTTAAGATTCTGGTTTTAGATTCTGGTTTAGATTCTGGTTTTAGATTTTGGCTTGAGAATCTGGTTTGAGATTTTGGTTTAGATTCTGATTTTAGATTTTTGTTTAGATTCTAGTTTAAGATTCAGGTTTAGATTCTGGTTAAGTTACTGGTTTATCTTCTGGTTTAGATTCTGGTTTTAGATTCTGATTTAAGATTCTGGTTTTAGATTCTTGCTTAGATTCTGGTTTTAGATTCTTGTTAAGATACTAGTTCAGATTCTGGTTTTAGATTCTTGTTTTAGATTCTTGTTCAGATTCTGGTTTAAATTCTAGTTAGGATTCTGGTTAAGATTCTGGTTTAAATTCTGGTTTTAGATTCTGATTTAGATTCTGGTTTTAGATTCTGATGGTTTTTAGATACTGGTTTATGGTTTAAATTCTGATTTCAGATTCTTGTTTTGGATTCTGGTTTAGATTCTGGTTTAGATTCTGGTTTAGATTCTTGTTTTAGATTCTTGTTAAGATACTAGTTCAGATTCTGGTTTAGATTCTGGTTTTAGATTCTTGTTTAGATTCTGGTTTTAGATTCTTGTTAAGATACTAGTTCAGATTCTGGTTTTAGATTCTGGTTTCAGATTCTTGTTTTAGATTCTTGTTGAGGTACTGGTTTAGATTCTGGTTAAGATTCTGGTTTTAGATTCTGATTTAGATTCTGGTTTAGATTTTGGCATGAGACTCTGGTTTGAGATTTTGGTTTAGATTCTAGTTTGGATTCTAGTTCAGATACTGGTTCAGATTCTGGTTTAGATTCTAGTTAAGATTCTGGTTAAGATTCTGGTTTAGATTCTGGTTTAAATTCTGGTTTTAGATTCTGATTTAGATTCTGGTTTTAGATTCTGATTTAGATTCTTGTTTAGATTCTGGTTTAGATTCTAGTTAAGATTCTGGTTTAGATTCTAGTTAAGATTCTGGTTAAGATTCTGGTTTAGATTCTGGTTTAAATTCTGGTTTTAGATTCTGATTTAGATTCTGGTTTTAGATTCTGATTTAGATTCTTGTTTAGATTCTGGTTTAGATTCTAGTTAAGATTCTGGTTTAGATTCTGATTTCAGATTCTTGTTTTGGATTCTGATTTAGATTCTTATTTAGATTCTGGTTTAGGTACTGGTTTAGATTCTGGTTTTAGATTCTGATTTAAGATTCTGGTTTTAGATTTTGGTTTAGATTCTGGTTTTAGATTTTGTTCAGATTCTAGTTTAAGATTCTGGTTTAGATTCTTGTTTAGATTTTGGCTTGAGAATCTGGTTTAGATTCTGGTTTAGAATCTGGTTTGAGATTTTGGTTTAGATTCTGGTTTTAGATTCTGATTTAAGATTCTGGCTTTAGATTATTGTTTAGATTCTGGTTTTAGATTCTTGCTTAGGTACTGGTTTAGATTCTAGTTAAGATTCTGGTTTAGATTCTAGTTCAGATACTGGTTCAGATTCTGGTTTAGATTACAGTTAAGATTCTGGTTTAGATTCTAGTTCGGATTCTGGTTCAGATACTGGTTTATATTCTGGTTTAGATTCTGGTTTTAGAATCTGGTTTTGATTCTGGTTTAAATTCTGGTTTAGATTCTAATTAAGATTCTGGTTTAGATTCTAGTTCGGATTCTGGTTCAGATACTGGTTTATATTCTGGTTTAGATTCTGGTTTTAGAATCTGGTTTTGATTCTGGTTTAAATTCTGGTTTAGAGTCTGGTTTAGATTCTGGTTTTGTTGTAAGGATAACAGCAGCATGTTTAAGCGTGTTGGTCTGACTGGAACCAACCCTGGACTCTTGTTCAGGTTCTCCTCAGGGAGGTGCTGTGAGGAGCTCACGTCTGAGTTTCATAAAAAATACTGTTTCTCACCAACTTTTCTCCTCCTGATTACGAGGGTGGGGTCATGGAAGAGCTGCTCCTCATCCTCAGCGCTGATCACCTGACAGCATCCAGCACAAAACAACCAATCAGAGAGGAGAAGGAGGAGGAGCAGCAGAAGAAAGAGGAGGAGGTGCAGCAGCAGGAGGTGCAGCAGGAGGAATACCTGACACTGGCGGAGATAGGGAGTGATTCTCGAAGGTTCGATGGTTTTAATGAGCAACATCCTGAAATCATCGAGCTGCAGCCAACAGAGGTCGTCCTCACTGACTCCGTCCATCTACAGTACACAGTACTACAGTACTCAAGTGCACACAGTAATGCAGTACTACAGTACACACAGTAGTACAGTACACACGGTAATACAGTACACACAATACACAGTACTACAGTAGACACACTACTACAGTACACACAGTACTACAGTACACACTGAACACTCAGAATACACACCTGTCCTGTAACCTGCTACTGTCTGATACACCTGTCTCTCTCCCTCTCTCTCTGTCTCTCTGTCTCTCTGTCCGTCTCTGTCGCTACTTCTGTGTTTTTTGAGGAGGAAGCCATTTCTCCCACTTCCTGTTTTAAGTTCAGGCTCTGCCCCCTCTGACTGGCACTGACAACTCATCAGATTCACAGGTACACCTGTACTTATATTTTACCTGAGTACTTCCTTACACTTTTACTGCAGGTCAGAGGAAGGTTTTAGAGTCAGATCATTCAAATTGAATACAATAATATCATATGTAATTCTGTATAATTTATACTTATACCACTGGTACTTTTGTACTAGTTTGTACTTGAACTAACTTTGGACGCGAGAGTATTTGTACTGTGGTATTAGTACGAGTCCCTGTGTAAAATTAGTGTATGAATTATTATCAGTGATTATCACATTAATAATTAAGTAAATAATTAAAATGTCTTTTCCATATGAACAGACATTTAAAGTTTGTACAGTTCCACTCTGACTTTTTATATAAGTACCGATGAGGTCATTAGAAAATGAATAATAATTATATAATATTAATATTAAACACTTTACAGCTTCTTGTGAGGACGTGCTGCTTTCCTCATGAACTAACACGTTTCACCGAGTTGTTTGTTTTCTCAAGTTTAATAAACCAGTCAATCGATTCATCAAGAGAATAATCAGCTGATTAATCATATATATATATATATATATATATATATATATAGGGTGGTGGTTCAGGTCTGAGGTGGTGTGACAGAAAGAGGAAGTGGATTAGAGAAGTCAGAAGGGAATGACTCAGTGAACAGGAAGAGTCAGCTGACTGAAACAGGAAGTGATGTCACAGTTTTATGATTACGTTGATTCCTGGAAGTTTGATGGAGCTGAAGTGAAACTGAACCAAAACTAAGTGTCAAAGTCACAAGTCAAACAGAGTCCAGGACTAAGTGGTCCTCACTGACCTGAATGAGAACACGCTGTTTGATTTTATATGAACTCTCTTTATTAAAGAATAATCAGTTTATAATAAACAATTCAAAATAAATAAACATAATTTAGTGCAATTTCATCACTTTAAAACTTGAACTGAACGCACCACCGAGCTCCACGTGTTGTGAATCACCTTCACATCCCTGCTGATTTAACTGCTCAGACTCTCAGAGGTTCAACGTTTCAGTGAGAAAAACAGAAACTGAAGAAAAACTGAACTTCTTTGATTCAAACTATTTAATTCTTTAAACTTATTTCTGTTCATGTTGAAACTTCTTCATATGAACTAAACCTGTAGATCTGTGGATTTTACTGGACTGTGGAGACCTGGTCTCTACCGGTCTGGTCTGGTCTGGTCAGGTGGGGGTGTGCTGGTGTTGATTCCTGAGAAGTGATTGGCGGGAGCTCCTGAGCCATCACACAGCAGCAAAGATCTCTGGAGAACACAGTGAAATAAAGAGTCGTCAGTGAGGACGCAGAGTCCAGAGTCCTGGTTTTGGTCTCATTCAGGACCCGATGTTTCCATGGTTCACCTGTTCAGGTAGGTCAGGACAGAGACGACAGGTGATCAGAAACCTGGAACATGAACCACCAGGTTTCTGATCACCGGTCTGAAAAGATGCTAACTGTGCTAACTTTTCTGAAAGGATGCTAACCATTCTGAAAAGATGCTAACTACGCTAACTGTTTTGAAAAGATGCTATCTAAAAGGCTTGATCCAGATTTCTCGACCAGGAAGTAAGTGGAGATGAAAACATGTGAAACAAAATAAATTCAAATCAAACAGGACATGAATCGGAGGAGGTGACAGGGTGACAGTGGCGCCCCCAGATGGCAGCGAGTCTTGAGGAGTGTGTTTTTTAAGGGGATACCTAGTGGCTGTGACTGTTACTGCATCTGTAGCTTCACTACAATACTAACAGCTGACTGTAACTATGGAAACAAAACCTCCATCAGCTGCTCACCTCTGCTCTCCTCTGCCTCCCTCTCTCTTTGATTTTCTTTAGCTCCGCCTCCGCCTCCTCCTCATCTTCCTCCTCCTCCTCCTCCTCTTGAGAGGCGGGCCGAGCCACAGTCTTCTCTTTGATTGGCTGGATGGTGGCCAGGAGGGCGGGGACAGTGAAGCAGGAAAGGAAGCGGGCCTTCAGCAGCTGGTAGGCGGGGTTACCTGAGAAACGCTCAGTCACCAGCTGACGCACGGCCATCACAAACTCTGCCTCCTCCTCCTCCTGCTCCTCTTCCTCCTTCTCCTGCAGGAGGTCAGAGCTGACAGAGGGAGCTGCAGGGAGACAAAATGAACACATCTGACAGTTTAGAGAAGTAGCAGGACAGAACGTGTTTTAGCCACTTAAAAAAAAATTCCCTCCTAAAAATCTACAAGTTGAAGTGTCCCCCCCCCCCAGGTGCCCCATGTGTTACCTGGCGGGTCCCCGGCTGCTCTTAGGTCAGAGGTGGAGTCTGGCAGGTCTGGTGGAGGCGAACTGGAGGTCTCTGTACCGCCGTCAGGTTGTGGTCTGGTTTGCTGGAGTCGGGGTTCGGAGCCTCGACTCAGAAGCTCCAGGGACGAGGATGTCAAAGATCTCTTGGCCCGGAGCAGCGCACTGAGCGTGCTCAGACTGCTGACAAAGGGAGGTAGGTAGGGCAGAGCCACGCCCACTCCAGGTACCACCACCCCTCCCCGCCCGCTCAGCCAATCACGCACTGCTGGTGGCGGCTCCAGAGACATCAGGGACGGGTCGAACTGCAGCTCCTCCCTCCTGAGGGGAGGGGGCTCCGCTGGGTCCACTCTGACGGTGCCCTTATAAGGCAGGAAGAGTTTAGGGGGATGCTGGGGGGGACAAGAGAGGAGTGGGGAGGAGTCGGGGTATGGGACAGGTTGCAAGACAAAGGTTGGGGGGAGGGTCTTAGAGGGACATGTGGGCGGGGGAAGAAGAGGGAGTGGCTGACTCAGACCAGGCGCTGGAATGAGCTGCAGAGGGGGCATGGCCACTGGGCAGCTTAAAATATTCCCAGGTGGAGGTGGATGTAGGTGGGGGGGGCCCGGCACCAACACCAACTGCAGGCCTTGGGGCGGGGCTTCTGCAAGCTGGACCAGGCCACCAGGAGTCATGACCCACATCGACTGACCAGGAAGTAAACACAGCCCGGGAGGCTGAGAGTCCACCTGTACCACTTCCTGCTTACACCGAGACGCACAATGACGCTTTTTACAAGGAGAAGAAGAAGTCCTCCTCTTCGTCTTCTTCTGGGCTACAGCCTGGAAAAAAGAAACACAGGAGGAGTCAGAGGAGGAGACAGAAACAGAGGAGGAGACAGAGACAGAGGAGGAGACAAATCTAACCTTGCTCTCAGTACGAGGAGAAGAAGTCCTCCTCTTCGTCTTCTTCTTGGCTTCAGCCTTGACACAAAAAACACAGGAGGAGTCAGAGGAGATGACAGACGAAGAGTCAAAGGAGGAGACAAACAAGGAGACAGAGGAGGAGAAAGGTCTCACCTCGGCCTCCTGCAGAGCTCTGGCTTTCTGACTCAGCTTCCGGACCCTCTTTCCTTCCTGGATCTCACCTGTACGAGCCCCACCCACAGGGTCACCTGTCATACTTGTACAAGCCCCGCCCCAAGGGTCGCCTGTCGTACCTGCACATTGGTCACCCTGACTGCTCGTCACCCCGTCCTGCTCCTCCCCCCTCCCTCGTTTCCTCCTCCTGCATTGAACTTTTAGGGGCATGTCTAGGGCAGGGTCAGATGGTTGTTTGGGGGTGGGGCTAGGATTAAAGAAGGAGTAATCATGGTCGCTGTGGAAAGCAGCAGGTGAGTGTTGATTGGTTGATAAGGAGGTGGGTGGGGCTAACTCCATCAGCTGCTCTGTCATCAGCCTCCTCTGCTGCAGCATCCCAGCGATGGTCCTCGGGTCCTTCATCCGGACGGCGGGGGGGTTTGCATGGGGGGTCAGTAACACCACCCTGTTCCTCCTCTGCTCGATCATGTCCTTGCAGCCCACGGTGTCCACGTTCATGGTCTGCAGGAGAAGCAGGAAGATGGGGGTGGAGGGGAGGCGGGTCTTCTCCCCTCGCTCCCTCAGGGTGTCGGCTGCCGTCAGTCTGGTTTTAGATGGGATCAGCAGGTTCCCGATCCAGGGCACGACGGCGGCCTGCAGTTCATAGTTCAGCGCTGTGTCCGTCACTCGGCCCGCGTGGTTCTTTCTGCCGGTCTGGCGCTTCCCTCGGGAGCGGCAGCTCTGGTCATTGCTCTTGTTTACCTGCCGGCACAGGTGGGCTCGCAGCTGGTCAGCTGACACCATCATCATGGTGCTGCTGCTGTGACGCTCCTCCCACTGCAGCTCTCTGGGGTTTGGTCCGACGATCACAGAGCGTCCAAACTGGCCCAGGATGGTTGAGCGGACCAGCTCCCCGGAGGGGGTGTCTCCTGAAGAAGGCAACACCACCGGGCGAAAGCTCAGGAAGTTGACCTGCTGAGCTGTCTCTGCTGGAATCCAGTCCTGTATGGGAGGGAGGATGTACTCCTTCTCCTTCTCCTTCACCTCCACCCTCTTCACCTTCTTCTTCTTCTTCTTCTCCTCCTCCTCATCACTGTCCATGTATGGCACCACCAGCTCCTCTCGCTCCTCCTCACTGCTCTCCTCCTCCTTGATCTTCATCAGTTTCCTCCTGATCCTCCTCCTGACAGGAGAACCTTTCTTCTTCGCTCGTCTCCTCTGTGGTTTTTTAGCTCTCTTAGTTTTCTGTGGACAGAGTTAGATCAGTCACAGTCTGTTCTCATGATGGAGGAAGGATCTGAGGAGGAATCTGGTCTGGTTCCTCCTCAGAACCGTCATCATCTGTCAACAACAGCATCAACAACAGCATCTACTGAACTCAGCTGATTGTTCGGTACAGGTTTAGGTGGGTTTACTTTACTTCAGGTTTACTTAAGTTAACTTCAGTTCAGGTTTATTTTATTTTATTTTAGTTGAGTTCAGATTTAGTTTAGTTTACTTTATGTTTAGTTTACTTCAGTTCAGGTTTATTTTATTTTAGTTTACTTCAGATTTAGTTTAGGTTACTTTACTTCAGGCTCAGTTTACCTTACTTCAGTTCATGTTTACTTTAGTTGAGTTGAGTTCAGGTTTAGTTTACTTTGTTTAGTTTAGTTTACTTCAGTTCCTTTAGTTAAGGTTCAGTTTAGTTTATGTTTAGTTTAGTTTACTTTAGTTCAGGTTTAGTTTAGTTTAGTTTACTTCAGTTCAGGTTTAGTTTAGTTTAGTTTACTTCAGTTCAGGTTTAGTTTAGTTTAGTTTACTTCAGTTCAGGTTTAGTTTAGTTTAGTTTACTTCAGTTCAGGTTTAGTTTAGTTTAGTTTACTTCAGTTCAGGTTTAGTTTAGTTTAGTTTACTTCAGTTCAGGTTTAGTTTAGTTTAGTTTACTTCAGTTCAGGTTTAGTTTAGTTTAGTTTACTTCAGTTCAGGTTTAGTTTAGTTTAGTTTACTTCAGTTCAGGTTTAGTTTAGTTTAGTTTTGTTTAGTTCAGTTTTATTTTATTTTATTTTAGTTTACTTCAGATTTAGTTTAGGTTACTTTACTTCAGGCTCAGTTTACCTTACTTCAGTTCATGTTTACTTTAGTTGAGTTGAGTTCAGGTTTAGTTTACTTTGTTTAGTTTAGTTTACTTCAGTTCAGGTTTAGTTTAGTTTACTTTAGTTCAGTTTAGTTTATTTTAGTTTATGTTTAGTTTAGTTTTCTTTAGTTCAGTTTTAGTTTAGTTTATTTTAGTTTATCTTTAGTTTAGTTTTGTTTACTTTAGTTCAGGTTTAGTTTAGTTTATTTTATGTTTAGTTTAGTTTACTTCAGTTCAGGTTTAGTTTAGTTTACTTTAGTTCAGTTTAGTTTATTTTAGTTTATGTTTAGTTTAGTTTTCTTTAGTTCAGTTTTAGTTTAGTTTATTTTAGTTTATGTTTAGTTTAGTTTGGTTTACTTTAGTTCAGGTTTAGTTTAGTTTATTTTATGTTTAGTTTAGTTTACTTCAGTTCAGGTTTAGTTTAGTTTACTTTAGTTCAGTTTAGTTTATTTTAGTTTATGTTTAGTTTAGTTTTCTTTAGTTCAGTTTTAGTTTAGTTTATTTTAGTTTATGTTTAGTTTAGTTTGGTTTACTTTAGTTCAGGTTTAGTTTAGTTTATTTTATGTTTAGTTTAGTTTACTTCAGTTCAGGTTTAGTTTAGTTTACTTTAGTTCAGTTTAGTTTATTTTAGTTTATGTTTAGTTTAGTTTTNAGTTGAGTTGAGTTCAGGTTTAGTTTACTTTGTTTAGTTTAGTTTACTTCAGTTCAGGTTTAGTTTAGTTCAGTTTACTTTATGTTTAGTTTAGTTTACTTCAGTTCAGGTTTAGTTTAGTTTACTTCAGTTCAGGTTTATTTTATTCTATTTTATTTTATGTTTAGTTTAGTTTACTTCAGTTCAGGTTTAGTTTAGTTTATTTTATGTTTAGTTTAGTTTACTTCAGTTCAGGTTTAGTTTAGTTTACTTTAGTTCAGTTTAGTTTATTTTAGTTTATGTTTAGTTTAGTTTTCTTTAGTTCAGTTTTAGTTTAGTTTATTTTAGTTTATGTTTAGTTTAGTTTGGTTTACTTTAGTTCAGGTTTAGTTTAGTTTGTTTATTTTAGTTTACTTCAGTTCAGGTTTAGTTCAGTTTACTTTATGTTTAGTTCACTTTAGTTGAGGTTTAGTTTATGTTTAGTTTATGTTTAGTTTAGTTTTCTTTAGTTCAGGTTTAGTTTACTTTATGTTTAGTTTACTTTAGTTCAGGTTTAGTTCAGGTTTAGTTTATGTTTAGTTTAGTTTTCTTTAGTTCAGGTTTAGTTTACTTTATGTTTAGTTTACTTTAGTTCAGGTTTAGTTTATGTTTAGTTTAGTTTTCTTTAGTTCAGGTTTAGTTTAGTTATCCTGGACCTGTAGACATTTGAACTTTTGAAGATCAGTGGGCTAACCTGATCTCTACAGCATCACTGAGAACTCAGGTGTAACAGGTGTGTACCTGAGCAGCAGGGGGGCGTGGCCTGCTGAGTTTCCTCCACTCCCTCAGACACTGAGCGTCGTAACGGTGGGGGATCTCAGCAGCAATCTTCGCCCAGCGACCTGGAGAGAAACAGGAAGTGATGTCACAGTTAAAACAGTGGGCGGGGCCACAGAACGTCATCAGAACCAGATACTATACTACAGCTCGCAGGTTTAACCCCCCACTTAGATTCCGCTGCTTAGACCTGCTGAGACAATACCCATAATCCTCAGCACATCAATTCAGCCATGACTACAGTACCCATAATCCTCAGCTCTCTGTGACAGTGTGTGTGACCCACCAACTCCATGTTTGTCCACCAGCTGCAGCAGCAGTTCTCTCTCCTGCTTGTCAAACGCTCCTCTCTTTGTTCCCGCCTTCAGACAGTCATAATACCTGTGCGCACACACACACACACACACACACACACACACACACACACTCACGTTTACTGAGGAAGACAGTCACACAGACTGTGACTCTGATCATCCAATCAGCTCTCACCTGTCTCTGCAGGCGCTGTCTGTCCGTCCAGGAACCTCCAACCTGATCTTCCACCAGTTCTTCGCCCTGTGACGAAAGACAGCCTGCAGCAGGAGCTGAAAGACAGAGAGGCAGGGGAAAAGACAGAGAGAGAGACAGGCAGGGGGACAGACAGGGAGACAGATAGGGGGACAGACAGGTAGCGGGACAGACAGAGACAGAAAGACAGGGAGACACAGTGATGTCACAATGATACCACTGGGACAGTTTTTACAGCCACAGTAGCGAACCATGTGTTCAGTGTAAGCCCCGCCCCCTGCCTACCTCATCCTCCTCTTTGCTCCACAGGCCTTTCTTCAGACTTGGGTCCAACACCTGGTTCCACCTGTAGATCAGCTGAGCAGGGTCACGACCCTCCATGAAGTAACTCACTGAGAGACAGACAAACAGGTGGAGAGAGAGAGAGACAGGTGGAGAGACAGACAGTTGCAGAGAGACAGGTGGCGAGAGAGAGAGACAGGTGGAGAGAGAGAGAGAGAGAGAGAGAGGTACAGAGACAAAGACAGGTGGAGAGACAGGTACAGAGACAGATGTAGAGACAGAGAGACAGGTGGAGAGACGGAGAGACAGGTGGAGAGACAGGTAGAGAGAGAGAGGCAGGTGGAGAGACAGACATGTCGAGAGACAGGTAAGCATGAGTGTAAGAAAATATTAAACCTGTGATGTCAGTGTGATGTCATTACTCTGTGTGTAGGGGACGAAGTTTCCGATCCTCATCTTGTCCACCAGCTCTCTGAGCAGATCGTCTTCAGCCGGAGTCCAACTGCTGCGTCTCAACGAGTCGGAGACAAAACGTTGGAACGTCTGAAGACACATGAAGGCTGTCCTCCCCGTCTGAGAGACAGACAGGTCAGATACAGACAGGCGAGCGACTTACAAGTCAGAGACAGACAGGTCAGAGACAGACATGTGAGAGACAGACAGGTGAGCGACAGACAGGTGAGCGACAGACAGATCAGAGACAGACAAGTAAGAGACAGACAGATCAGAGACAGACAAGTCAGACTCCTCCTCCCCCCTCCTCACCCCCAGCTCCTGAGCGATGGTCTCCCAGTGTCTCTCCCCATGTCTCCTGCTGACCTCCTTCAGCTGCTGCACCTCCTCCTGACTCCACGGAGTCTTACTGATGGAAGGGTGAAGGAAGTTCTGCCAGAAACGACGGATATCCTCCGCCTCCCTCGTCCCTTCAAACTGAGGAGATGAGAGAGAGACAGAGAGAGAGAGAGAGAGACAGAGAGACAGAGAGAGAGAGAGAGAGACACAGAGAGAGAGAGAGA